TGCATTGACGCAGCTGCAGTAGTCGAGCGCATCTGCAGGTGGAACTGGATTAGATTATGAACACGGTATCGTTTGTTCGAAGCAGCACGAGCCTTCGTTGATTGGACGTTTGTGCAACACTAATACAGCCTATGAAGAATATTTCGTCGTGTTCAAATAATTTCTATAAAATTCCGAAAACATCGACGTTCTTTGGATTGTTCGTGTACATGTGTTCTTGATAATTGTATGGACACACTGCAGATATATAATTTGAATTTATTGAAACAACACGGTGTAGATATTTGAAATATTATTATGTAACCATTATTAACCATGGAAGTGCAATTGTGGATATACTAGGGCACTTATGTCCATGTAATATTGTGCATAGGTGTTGTTTTATTTGGCCTGGGATGGCTTAGGACCCAGGGTCATATTCACCCATAATAGAACTTCCATTGTGTGCAGCTTTCAAAAGGGACTGGAGCATAAAATATTAAAGCTTTATTTATAGCAGCATACATTGCATTTTCGTGTAACTGTATATGCAGTTAATCGCACAAAGGAATGATTATGGTAATAATCTAAATTCCGGTGAAATGCTTGATTCGTTGCATCGAGGCGATCACTCTACCATTATCGACTAGTAACGTTAATAAATGTGCCGTTCGCAAGGTAAATAGATTAATTCCATTACCCTAATATCCCTAAATCTTAGCCCCAAACCGTTGAAACCTAGATCGCTCCTTAAAATTACAGCTTGATTAATCCCCCCCGACTTTTCGTTCCGTTTACTTGATCACTTTTTTATGGAGCAATCACTTTAACGAACGACCGACTGAAATATCGGCACGGGGGCGTAGCTCCGCGCGCATCCCAGCGGTGGCGCAAGGGTTAATAAATCAAAAACTCGTTCATCCCGATCTGCTGTGCGCGCGTCGAACGGTATCCACACCTGTGGGGTTAAAAAAGGGCGCGAAACGCGGTGCTCCGTGAATCGGAAAAGGTGAAAGGTTACCTTGCGAGCGGAAAATGCAGGTAGCCAGCGGGGTGTCGATTAAATTATCGATAGCCGTGCGATTCGCACGCGTCGACCGTTTAACGGGGTCACTGTCGAATCAGTGCTCATCAAAACGACCGCACAGTTTAAAGAATATTCTAACGAAACAAACGTTAAATCAAAATGTTTCGTGACAATCGCTTCCTTAATTTCCCGCCTCGTAGATTGAACAACTCTTGAGTCGATTATCGTGATAATTCAATGATATTCCATAATTATATACAAATAATGGATGAATAATAATAAATTATGATAAATTGTGTTATCAAAGCAAGTCTAAGTTCGAGTTTATTTTCAGCAGAAACGGAAGAGTTCCGACAAGCTAATTTACACTTTTCCTTGTTTCCGTTTTCGCAGATCGACTACCCGGAAGTGCATGGAGGAAGGATGCATCGGCCGCCGCACCCCCATCCCATAACCGACCATCGGCAGGTCAACCTGGTCTTCGATGACACGGTAAACATCTGCTTTCGTCGGGCTCTTTTTTCGCAGGTAGAAAACCGAACCCTCGAGGTCCCATCCCTTCGGCTGCATTAACGCGTTCCACCGCGCATCTCGCCGTGACCAGATCCCTTTTTCGACCTGAATTCCCGCACTCGGAGGATGAGTCATAAATAGATTCATTTTCAAGTCCGTTTCACCACCGGGTCTGCCGTCGGCCGCACGCGCCCGTCGCCGTTTACTTACTCGGAAACAGGAACGTTCGATAACTGTAATTTCATTCCGGTACGGATGCATTTATTCAATTGCTCGCTAAACATTCCGCAGAGTCGAATTTCTGTGAACGAAAAGCTGCATTCCTCGCGTGGATTTTACGGCGAGCATCTGTGCGCCCGAGTTAACTCGGCTAAAAAGATAGAAAACTCCGCTCATCTTAATTAGAAAGCATTCTACAATTAATAGATAAAACAAGAACATACACGTGTCTTGTATGCATCTATTTACAAAAAGACGGAGAACTTCGCTCGCGAAAGATCGCATCGGACACGAGGTAACACCGGCAAGTTATTAAACTACATCCTCTTATCTTCTCGAGTCATCCATCGATGAGACACCCGATAAAACAACTAAACTTCTAACGAACAAGTGCATACCCGGGATTGATAGCTTGGCCAGTGTCTCGTGACGATCCATTACGATCGAGGCGCGCGAATATCAGATGCAACGCGACGGAGAGGCATGGCCGTCATCCATCGTTAGGTCAGACCGTGCACTTTTGCTAATCGTTTATCTCGCATCATCGGCCAGCCACGTCGAGAAAGAAAGTTCTGACGTCGTCGATCCGTGACGTACGCGGGGGCCACCCACGTGCTCCTTCGCCAATTGGATGAAACAGACGGCAGACGGGAAAATAGAGGAAAAGAGGGACCGGGGAAGGGCCGACGCGCGCGCGCGCGCCCGCAAGTTTGCTGAAGTTTCGAGGCAGCCTCTCTCCACCTCGTCGCACTTTCTCATGCATTTCAAATGCACCGGCCTGCACGCCGGAGAGAGAAGTTTTATCAGTCCGTGAATTTTCTTATTTACGTCGGCGGCCGCGCGCATAGGGAAAATTTTCCCCGGGCGGCCGAGTGAATAGCGGCCGCCCGTAAAAACCGAGGAACGTTTTCCTTAGGTCGAAAGTGGAACGACGGCACGCGGGACGCGTGTAACGTAGGAGAAAATTCATTTTTTTCACCCTGCCCCCGGAACGCGCGCTTTGTTTCCCCTTGCGGAGGCATTCCGCTTTCGTCGGGGCATCTTGCCTCGGTTTTCGGAACTCTTTATTAAATTGTTCGCGGCGGGCGCAAAGAAAACGGAAGCTGTTTACAATTTCTCCTCCTCTGGCAGCTAATTTCGAAACTTTATTATGCTCCCGGCTTTTTCCTGCAACACTATGCCGAAAGCTTCGGTCTGAACTCAAGAGGAACTTCGTGTTCCTGCGTTCGTTACCCGGGAAACTGTTTTCGAGCATAATGCGTCGATTTTATCTTTCCTTTGTTACTTCGATGAACACGCGGTTCGATTTTCAAATCAAATTCTTCCTCCGTTTTCACATGAATATTCCCATCGTAGTTTTCGTTTGTTTACCGATCGATTTCAATACAGAAGTTCCACGAACCGGTCAATGAAGTTTTGCTGTTACTAGTCCGAAGGAATGTTCGTGTCCATTAAGGTTTTCGATCGCATTTCTTCGGGTGCGTTCGATGTAATCGCACGAAACCCGCGGTCCGTTAATAACGACGCCGGAGCACGTAACGAGAATGATACGAAAAAGTTGGTTTTCTCTTCTTCTTTTCCTCGAGCGGCTTAACCGCACAGTTTGGGAACTTAGCCGAGGCGCAGCCTGCACCGGTAAGATGATCTACTGAAGTCCCCTAAACGAGTGGCTGGAATGTGCATATTGGTCGCCGTGCACTGGTATGCCGGTCGCCTCTCCGCTGAGTAGGAAGAAACTGAATGGGAGAGGCAATTTGGAAAGTCTGCGGAGCAGGACAAAAGGAAAAGTGAGGGCACGACATAACGGGTCGTATAAATCATGCGTCGGGTCGGCCAGTGGCCTTTGAGCAGTTACTATCCGCTGTGTTGGATGCTTTGAGCGGTCCGGGTCTACCTCTCTCTTCTCCGCGTGTTTCCCTTCTCTCTCGATCGTTCGCCGATTGACGATTGACCGACCGTCGACTCCTTAAGCTTGATTCACACGATCGTCCTTTTCCTTCGCGTCTTGACGCCCGGTTGCGCCGACCGGAGGAGCCTTCGGGGCAAAAGCGAAATTCCAAGTTTTCGTTGTCCATTGCGTATCTGAATAGATTTGTCTTCCTGTTGCAATTAACGCATTGTTGACCGGCAGTTTTACGCAGAGGCTGTGCTGTGTCACCGGTTATTATTCCGTAATTAAATACGAAACAATCTGAATAAGCTTCGATATATCTTTATTGTATGTAATGAATTGAAACGAAATTTCGGGCATATCTTTTAAATAGATTTTAACATTTTGCTTTTGGAATATTCTACGCTGCACTTCAAAAATTGAAATAGCCAATGCTAGTGTGAAGACGAGTTAACTCGTGACCGGTCAACAATATGTTAACATTTATAGACAGAACTGTAACGAACTTTACAAATAGACTTCGTTAGTTTCGATTATGAAAGTAGGGTTCCTTCTTTCCTTTGGCTGGATCTTTGTGGATCATCCTATCAATTGAATCTTCGTTAACTAGACAGATTGTGGCTACCCTAAAAAGTAATTACTTAAAAAGGGCACTGAGTCCAGCGTGTCGCACGCAGCTTCTTTCGACGATGAACTACTCTTTCTCGTTTGTTTATAAACTTTCCTCTCGATACTAGCAATCGTTTCTAAACTCACCTGCGGAGTTTATGAACACTGCCAACAAGACAGTTGACTTTTCGATTTTTCTTGCATGCGTAATCCGACGTCGGGATGGATGATCGCCGTTGAAAATCGTGTCCCGATGCAACTGGAATATACCTTATAATATTGAAGCTTCCAGCAGAGGCAGATGAATTACCGATCGAGAGTGGTCGTCCTTGTTGATGATCGATAAATATTCATGGGAAAATTGCATCCACACAGATCCACCGAATCGGCGGATGTAACACAATAAATTCTTCCCCTGTCGTTTTCATTTAAACAACGAAACCATTAAGACACAAATATTTGCAATAATCACAAAGACTCGAATTAAAAATTACTAACAAAACACGACGACATACTTAACACGTTGAATGCCGTGGGGGTCACCGGTGACCCCCAACCGAATTACTGCAGATCACTCAGTTAAACTATGATCATTTGAAAATATTTCTACATTATAAATAATGCTGTCTAACGCATCAACATTTAGCCAGATAAACATGCAATAATAATAATTCGATCAAATGATTTAATATCATATTTTCTCAATTTGAGCATTCTGCTCTATAAAATCGGCGTTGAACGTTTTAGCAATAAAATACTAATAAAAAAACATGACCATTTGAAAAGGTTTCTATGTTATAAATAATACTGCCTAACGTATTCAGCATAAACATGCAATAATAGAAAGAAAACATTAGTATCTCAACAATGAAACGGTGCCAACGGTTTCGTCCGGCACTGTATCAATGTGTCACGATCTCAGTAACATGTCGTCACACAGAGTACGGTGTGGCCTGGTAAAACGGATCGTGGAAGGGAACGCATAGGAGTGGTGCCCATGGAACAGTATGTGTCCAATAATTGACTATTAATGAGGCGCGAGAGCTAGGGACGAGGCGAAAGAATATTTCGATGGACATTTTCGCCGCGTTGTCAACGGAATAAGTGTTTCGTTAGTAGCACGGTCAGAAGCTACAGGTGGGCCCCCCAACGTGCGCCCCCCTGATGCGACGGACCTGAGGCTTGCCGCTCGGCCGGGTCACGTGACCCTACGCTTTCGATGGGAATGCCGGTGACTGGACGAAGGGTGGGGGAGGGACGAGAGGCAGTCCTATGCCCGCTACTCCGCTAAGCTGACGGCCCACGACACGGGCACACCACCAGACGCGCCGCGCCACGAGAGCTTCGTATAAACGCGCCTTCCAACACAAAGAAGGTCACGTCGCGCTGCGTGTGTTACACGACACGGCACGGGACGATACGATACGAGACAGGACGGTGTCGCATATGCGCTCGCGGAACACGACGAAGGTGCGACCTGCGCGAATCATTGTACCGCGGATCGTGGCGGAACGGGTGGCCGACGGCGGTGCGAGAATGCGGCCGGGCACGGTTTGTTTTGCTCGTTGGTGTTCGTCGCGATAAAGTACGCGCCGATGGTGAAGAGTGCGGTGTCTGACCAGTGCCATTAGTAAAAGAGTAGGATGGACACCTTCGGCATGTACCAAGTGAGTCTGGACGGACGATCTCCCGCGGCTCAAAATGGCCTTGGTTTATCGCAATGCTTTCTCCCCCGTACACGAGATTTCCCGATGACGGTTCGTGTTTCCGATGAACGATCACGGACGATCATCGAGACAGATGATCGGCCGTGATATCTGACAGATGTCACGGTGTTTTTGTTTAGATGTAAATACGTACGTGTGCCACGGTTTCCCGTGCTCTCTGTCCTCCTCTGTCCGCTCGATGCCTGCATGCGTGATGTCATGTCTGGGAACCTAACCTAACTTGCGAACGGAGTCCGAACACCCATC